GGACAGGGGGGCATAGAAAACTCAAATTTCGGAACCCCGACGGCCCAAGAGGAAGCCAAGAGAGGCCCAAGAGGCCCCCAAGACAATGCAAGAGGGCCCCGAATCGCCGAACCATCGCTCGAACCGCCCACGATGCCCCGAAGACAATTCAAGAAACTTCCACGACGTCCCCATGGATCCCTCGCGACACTTCCCCAGAATGCCCAAAGACTGACAAATCCGCCGATCCGGCGTGTGAGTTTCTGAGAGCGTGGACTTGAGCTCGCTCAAGCTTCGCTCTGCAGGGGGGGGTGCGTTATGTCCGATGTCATTTCCAATGTTTTTCGGTATGCGGGGATATGTCCCGCGTCATTTCCGATGTTTTTCGGTGGACTTGAGCTCGCTCAAGCTTCGCTCTGCGGAGGGGGGGGGGGGGGGGCGCGCGCGTTATTTCCGACGTCATTTCCCACGTTTTTCGGTGCACGGGGATATTTCCGACGCCATTTCCGACGTTTTTCGGCACCCGGGGACAGGGGATATAGGAAACTCCACTTCCGGAGCCCCGATCGCCCAAGAGGAAGCCAAGAGAGGCCCCAGAGGCCCCCTAGACAATGCAAGAGGGCTCCGAATCGACGAAACATCGCTCGAACCGCCCAAGATGCCCCGAAAACAATTCCAGAAACCTCCAAGACGCCCCCAGGACCCCTCACGACACTTTCCAATAATGCCCAAAGACTGACAAATCGACCCGTTCCCTTTCCTTTGGAAAACGTACATGTTCGGCATATTCGTCTCTTGGGCCTTCACAATGTCCAAGACGGCTCGCTCTCACCCCCCCCGGATCGGCGGCACTGGCCGGAGGCCAGCCCAATAGCTGAAAGTACTTAGATTTCCGGTCATAAAGCCGACGCGAACGAACGTCCTGGAGAAATCGTGTACGGGCATTTCAAGAACCGCAGAGGCTGGAGGCATGATGAGGACGCCGGCGACACCATGCCGCGAAGAGAAGGTTAGGACAACTGCACAGGTTCAAGCGCAATCACAAGCATCTCGATACCCTCCGTGAGCTTGCCTTTGTGCAGGCCAGCCATGATGATGCTTTCCAGGCTCGACGGGACGGAAATGCTCGGAGACCAGCCAACGCTGATGCGGCCCTTGATCTTGTCTCCGAAGAACCTCTTGTCGGGGTAGGCGCTGGCGCAAGCTGCGCGAATCGCCTTGACCAGCTGCTCCCGCTTGGTCTGGCACCAAGACTTATCCGAATCCAAGTAGAGCTCGTGTGAAGCGCCGGGGGTGTCGATGGGCTGGTGCCTGACCCAGCTGCCCTCACGCTGGCGACATGATCCCAAGATGAGTACCACCATCCGCTGAGCGTATGCCGTCGCTCCCGAAAGCCGAATCTGAATTCTGTTGGATGCAGGCTGTCCCTCGAAGCGGACCTCATTATCAGCCACGCTGTTCTGCCCAAGGATCGGCTTGAGCGCCTGTTTGAATGCTTCCGTGGATGCAACAGACTTCGCACGGGCCACGAGGACTGCTGCGTCAGATGCTCGATCGAAGTGTGCTTGATCTGCCATGGAAGGCGCAGGAGGCTCTTCGCTGCGAAGGGCTCCCACGAGTTACCGAAGCTCAAAGATTTGCGCACCGACTGCCTTGAACTTCGCCGTGTGCTCTGCCAGTTGGTATTCCACTCCAACCATTCGTCGTTCCACTTGTGCAACCAACTATTTGCATGTTGAAGATACCGTGCCAGCCAGGGTGCCGATGGTCGCTGCACAGAGGTCGCCAAGTCTGCCATGGCCTGCTGGATGGCCTCGAGCAGGGCGTCCTTGGTGGCGCCTGCGTAGTTCTTGATGCCGTCGGAGGCAGCATCACCGACAAGAGAAATTAGCTCATCACCGTCGGCACGCTGACGTTTCGGGTCCTTTGGGCCGCTCGTGCTTCACTGCCTCGGATTCGTGGCGGCGTCGCCTTGGCGTTCGTGTCCACATTGCCATGCAGAGCCATTCCTTGGCCTGCCTACGCTGGCAGACGGCATCCGAAAGAGAAATGTTGCTCTGTCAAAATCCTCGGCGATGTGGACCAGCTCCCGAGGGGATCGTGGTGAAGCCTGAACGGGACTCGAGCCCGCCCTTCGGCTACGTTTCAAGCTGAAGCCACAGGGCGATGGTTCCAACTTGAGCCACTACGGGCCTGGCTCCTCCTCCTCCTCCTCCTCCTCCTCCTTCGGATTCAAAGGTGCGCATCCCGCAACTAGCAGCATACAGACCGACAGCAGGAAAAGAGGCTGGCCGGGCTCGTCGGTGTCGGTGGCGGCGGCGGAGGCAGGTGCGGGAGCTGGCGCGCCTTCGCGGAGCCACGGCACGGCTCGGCGCCTTCGAGGGGCGCGTGTTCCACTGCGGCGGCACTTGAGGCCCAGGTGCAGGGCGCCGAGGAGGAGGAGGAGGACAAGGAGGTGTGAAATTGTGCAACACGTACACGGGCAGAGGGCGGTTTATTTTCAAGACGGGGCTATCGGCGGACACTTCCTTGGATTACGTATATCCTCATGTCTGTTAGCTTCCCACTTCTAGCTGGAAGCATGGAGAAGGGATGCTATACACAACAGGGTCTCGCCTGAACGGCAAGCCTGCCAAACATATTCAAGGGGGCTGCTTGCCAGAATGGAAAGCAACACCTGTAGGGACTTCTGAGGCCAGGACTAGGGACGGGAGGGGGTTTCCTCTTGTCTTCATTATTTTTCGCAATCCCGGTTCATTGCAAAAAAACATCAGCGAGACGGCTGATTTTTCAACATGCGGTTCTCACCCTAGCTCTGCGCAACGCCGTCTCGGGCCTTCAACATCTACACGAGTAGAGGGCGGCTCCTCTTTTACTACACGTGACGCTCGCCTTAGCACCACGGTCGTCTCAGCGCAGCGTGCATGCGTCTCAGAGTTCCCCCAGAAGCTACACGCTTGGAGGGCGTCTCCTTTTCAAAGTGTGGCGCTCGCCGTGAGCAGTGCCATGCGCACTGGTCGTAAAGTTCTCGACAGCTACACGGAAGGAGGGCGATGGGTGTTAGAAAAAAGGTGTTCGCCTCAGCGCCACGCGCATTCGTCTTTGAAATATTCAAACACATGTACGCGTGGATTGCGACTCATTTTCAGAATGCGGCTCTCGCCTCAACTGCGCGGATGGGAGGCGGTCTTTTATGAGAGCGGGGCTCGTCCTACACTTTCCAAGCTTTTAGCAATGAGCAATTTCGCGTCGGCGTTGGCGTCGGCGGCGCTTTCGGCGTCGGCGTCGGCGTCGTCGTTATCGGCGTCGTCGTCGTCGGCGTCGTCTTCGTCGGCGTCGTCGGCGTCGGCGTCGTCGGCGGCGTCGTCGTCGGCGTCGTCGTCGGCGTCGTCGACGTCCTCGTCGCCGGCGTCTCTTTCAGCCAGGAAGATTGGGCGGATCCTTTTCAAACCGGGGCTCTCGCCCGAATAACAGACCCGCAAGGCCTCTCGTCGCTCACAGGGGGCGAAGTCGATGATGAATAGAGTTGAGTGTCGGGACTAGTGGGGAGGCGCCTTGGGATGAGATGGAAAAGGAGGAGGGTGAAGGAGGAGGACCAGGGCGGAGGAGGGATGAGGACTAGGGAGGAGGAGAAGGGAGGAGGCAAGAGAAGGAGGAGAGAGGAAGGGAGGAGGAGGAGAGGGAGGAGGAGAAGAGAGGAGAGAGGAGGAGAAGGAGGAGTAGGAGGGGGGAAGGAGACTTGGGGTGATTGGGTGTATTGGAACATCGTTTGTGCAATCTCGATTGCTATTGCCTTCCTTCCTTCTCCTCCTCCTCTCGTCGACCCGCTCGTGTACGACGACACGGTCGGGAACCAAGCACCTCAGGTGGTGACCTGGTCCCTGTATCGCGCGCGGGTTATATAGTCCCGCGCTGAGCCGCGCGTCGCCGCGGCCTGCTCGGAGCGGGGTTGGGATCCGACCCTTCTTCGGAGGCGCGCGCTCTCATCCTCCTCCTCCTCCTCCTCCTCCTCCTCCTCCTCCTCCTCCTCCAATCCCCCCTCCCCCATACCCCTTCTCTCTCCTCCTACTCCCCCTGCTCATCCTCCGCCACCCTCTGCTAATCCTCCCCCTCCTCATCCTCCTCGTCAGAACCATTATCATATACATCAAACAAACACCATCAAGCGTCAGCTACCAACAACCAACCATCATCAGTCTCAGCATTCCTCATCATCCTCGTCCTCATCCTCGCCCTCATCCTCCTCATCCTCATCCTCATCCTCCTCCTCCTCATGCTCATCATTTTCATCCGCATAATTACCATCATCATCGTCCTCATCCTCTTCATCATCACCACCATCATCACCACCAGCATTATCACAATCAGCATCAGCAGCATCATCATCAACACCATCATCATCATCATCAGCAGCATCAGTACCATCAACACCACCATACTCATCATCATCATCATCATCATCAGCATCAGCATCGTCATCATCATCACCATCTTCATCATCGTCATCAGCTACGGCAGAAGCAGCGACGTTAACATCATCACCATTGTCGCCGTCATCGTCATCATCATTAGCAGCAGCACCACCACCACCATCACCATCACCACCACCATAATCATCACCACCACCAGAATAATCATCATCATCACCATCATCATCATCATCATCATCATCATCATCATCATCATCAGCATCATCATCATCATCACCGTCCTCATCAAGCTCATCATCGACATCCTCCTCCTCGCCCTCATCAGCATCATCACTATTACCACCATCGCCAGCATCATCATCATCATCATCATCATCATCAACAGCATCATCATCATCGTCATCAGCAGCAACAACACTATCATCACCCTCATCTTGATCCGCATCCTCATTATCACCCTCCCTCTTCTCCTCCTCCCTGTTCTCCTCATCCGCCTCATCATCGCCATCATCACCGCCATCGCCATATCCACCTCTTCCTTCCTAGTGCCTGCTCCCCCCAATCCCTCCGAGGGCGGCCAACCCGCTGGACCGCCCCACGGCGCGCCCGCAGGAAGTAGGGCGTCGACACGCGCCGCAGGGCGCTGCCTGGGCCGCCAGCGGGAGGGCAGTCATCGTCGTCGCTGTCGTTGGATGATGATGGTGGTGGTGATTTTCAGGCGACTGGTAACGGTTGATGATGATAATTGGTGGCTGTGCTGCATTCGATTCTGGCTCATGGAGGCACGCTGGGGCGGGAGAGACGAATGATGACGCCTCTGAGCAATGGATAACCCCACTGACTTGTGCGGCTGGCGGGCACGACCTCCTGACGGGGCACATGCCCAACCAACGCCCGAGGAAAGCGCGCAGCCTCCGTATGGGGCCGGCCGTAGTGCTCGGACTGACGGACGGCCCAAGCCATGAACAACACTAAGGCTTAGACTTTCGCTGGCGCTTGCTCGACCGTGGCGTTCTTGCGACGCGCGCCCAAGAAACCGTGGGAATCCCTTCACTGAACGCGCTGGCGGAGATCAGTTCAGTCCCCATGACGCGGGCAACCTTGTGCGACGGGAACAACACCTGGTGCCGTCCAAGAAGTACGCCTCCCACTGCCACCCACCAAAACCTCTCACGTTTCGACTGTACCTGTCAACTATCTCTCCACGGGATCCCTCGGCGCTGGCCCCGCGATCACGATGGTGATGATGATGCTGATGATGATGATGATGGTAGTGATGGTGGTGACAACATCAGCATCCTCAGCATCATCACCACCATCACCATCACCATCACCATCACCAGCATCATCATCATCATCATCATCATCATCATCATCGTCATCACCGTTATCATCATCATCATCATCATCATCAGCCGCATCATCATCACGATCAGCATCAGCATCATCGTCAGCACCAGCCTCAGCCTCAGCCTTAGCATACGCATCATCGTCAGCACCATCACCATCACCTTTACCATCACCCCCTTCATCATCATCATCAGCATCATCAGCACGGTCGGTCATAATCGGCATTGGCATCACCATCCGTATCACCATCGTCACTAGCATCCTCAGCATCATCATCACCATCACCATCACCATCATCACCATCACCAACTTCATCTTCATCATTACCTTCATCAACGTCATCGTCATCATCACCTCCATCAACACCGTCATCATATGTATCCCCATCATAGTTAACATCATCATAAGCACCGTGTGCATCATCATCGCCGCCAGGGCTATAACCGTCAACCTTAGCAGCAGCAGCAACAGTATTATCATCATTGTCACCATCATCATCAGCATCATCACCGTCTACAGCATCATAATCGACATCCTCATCCGCATCCTCCGCATCACCAGCATCAACATCAGCATCATCATCCACGTCATCATCATAATCCCCATCATCGCCATCATCACCGGCATCGTCACCATCATGACCCTCACCGTCATCATCATCATCAGCAACATCAACAACCCCATCATCATCAGCAGCAGCACCGTCATCATCATCATCATCCTCATCATCATCATCATCAGCAACATCATCATCTTGATCATGATCATGATCACCATGACCATGCTCAAAAATTAATCATCGGCAGCATCGGCATCATCATCATCGTCATCAGCATCGTCATCAACATCGTCATCGTCATCGTCACCGCCATCGTCATTAGCATCTGCATCAGCAGCATCAGCAGCATCAGCACCATCAGCGTCACTATCAGCATCAGTAGTATCATCATCAGCAGCAGCATCAGCAGCATCAGCAACATCACCATCACCATCACCATCGGGAGCGGGGAGGAAGGGGGAAAGGAGGGAGGAGGGAGGTAGGGAGGGGGGGAGGGAAGGGGGAGTGGCGAGGCGGGAGGAGGGAAGCGAGGGGAGAAGGGCTCTGGCGTCCTACCCCTCCCTCCCATCCCTTGCCATGGCGTAGAGCTCCTCTCCTTTCGCACAGTCGGATGTCATAGCAGGGCATCGCATTACATGGCATAGCATGGAGTTGAAGATCAACGCGTAGCATGACATAGCATGGCGTGGCGACGCCCCGATGTTTGGGGGGGGGGCTTCTGCGGCCCCAAAAATCAACGAATCGGCACCGAATGTGTAATCACTTCCGATGGCTGTTTCGGGGTGGCATTTTCTAGATTTCGGGGCCTATTTGGAAGGACCGAAAACCATGCCGTGGCATGTCGCTGGAAATAATAGAGCCAGCGCTGCAGCGGGAGCACGATTCGGAACGAGCGGAAGCGCGGAAATGAGGCCAGCGCTGCAGCGGGAGCACGATTCGGAGGACGCGTGGCCTGACATAGCATGGCATGGCGCCGTCCTAACGTGGGGGCTTCTGCGGCCAAAAAATCAACGAATCGACACCGAATGTGTAATCACTTCCGATGGTTGCTTTGGGGGGGGGCATTTTCTAGATGTTGGGGCCTACTCTCTCTCTCTCTCTCTCTCTCTCTCTCTCTCTCTCTCTCTCTCTCTCTCTATATATATATGTATAGATATTATGTATGTTCTCTCTCTCTCTCTCTCTCTCTTTGCATCTATATGTACATATATGGTGCACATCTACATCTACAAACACTACATACATCTCGAATATAGACCTGCGTACGTCTCTCTCTCTCTCTCCCTCTCTCCCCTCTCTCTCTCTCTGCACTCCTCCTTTCTGTCCACCCTTGCTTCTGTCCTTCCTCACCTTTCTTTCCGCGGGCGACTCTTCTCAAGATTACGCCAAGTTTATGTATGCACCGATCCTGTCCAGGCCCGTCCTGGACCTACGATGGATGTGGCCAGGGTCAGGAAGCGGGGATGCAGCCAAATACGCTCAGGGCCCCAGGGCCCATCTGGTGCAATTGTTCACCCGAAAGAGGCCCCCAAGAGGCCTCCAACGAGGCCCAAAAGGCCGTGGAGGTTTTCACCGGAAAACCCACCACCACCCCTGCCCCCCCGAAAGCCCCCCTTGAAGGGGGGGTGCAGGGGGTTTTCCAGGGGGGGTCTAGGAACTGCCACGCCCTACTGCACGGATGCTGCTGCAAGGTCCCATCGTACTGGACTCTGTGAGGCTGCTGGATGTGCTGATGCTGCTGATGGTGCTGCTCGGCCCCGTCCTGGACTCTAAGGTGATGCTGGATATGCTCATGCTACGGCTGCCGAGTGTACTGCCAGCTCACGTCGCCCTGGCAGCAAAAGTGCTGCTCGGTGGTGTGCCGCTGCAGCTGCCGATGGTATTGCTGGGTCCCGTCGTGTCGGAGTCTGAATAGATCCTGGGTGAACTGGTGCTGTTGCCCATGGGAGTGCTGGCTTCCGTCGTGCTGGAGACTGAATGGCGGCGGGTGGCACTGAAACTGCTGCTCGTGGAGCTGCCGCGGTGGGATCGCTGGATGCGCTGGATCTGCTGCCGATGGCGCCGCTGGATCCCGCCTTGCTGGGCGCTGCGGTGCTGCTGGACATGATGATGCTTCTGTCGAAGGTGCTGCACGCTCCCGTCGCGCTGGGAACTGATGAGTTGCCGGGGGCATTGCTGTCGGAGTTGCTGCCTGCCCCAGTAAACGTGAAGGGGTAGAGGTAGATGTAATGGTGGTGGGGGTGCGTCGCCGGGGCCTCGGCGCAGGAGCGGCGGTAGGTGGGTGAGTCGAGGGGGGCGAACAAGGATGAGGAGGACAGCGTGGAACGCGTCGGTCAAAAAACGCCCGTTTAAACTATGCTGTCCTAGGATCCCTCGAGCCAGAGCTGTAGGGGGGCAGGCGGCGCCCACGGCGCCGTCAGGCTTCAAAGGATAACTGCGAATACCCGACACAGCAGCAGAAGACGAGGCGAAACCAGACACGGGCGAGCGTGGGGCGTCCAGCCCCCAAAGTTTGTTCGATCGATCCCGCTCGGGACCTGCAGGCGGGCCCCGAAGGCCCCAAAAAGTCGGTACCTGACCTGGCACTCCAGGGGGCCCTCGAGGCCAACAAAAACATATCACGTGCGGAAGACCTCTCCCCTCGAGAGGAGGGTGGGCGGGGCCGAAATCTTGTGGACGGCAGAGCCGAGGGAGGACACAGAAGAGGACGGCACGAGGGGGGGGGGAACAAGCAGTATAAAAGAGCGTTACAATAACATTTATTTAAACTATGCTGTCCTAGGATCCCTCGTGCCAGAGCTGTAGGGGGGCAGGCGGCGCCCACGGCGCCGTCAGGCTTCAAAGGATAACTGCGAATACCCGACACAGCAGCAGAAGACGAGGCGAAACCAGACACGGGCGAGCGTGGGGCGTCCAGCCCCCAAAGTTTGTTCGATCGATCCCGCTCGGGACCTGCAGGCGGGCCCCGAAGGCCCCAAGAAAACGGTACCTGACCTGGCACTCCAGGGGGCCCTCGAGGCCAACAAAAACAGATCACGTGCGGAAGACCCCACGCAGGCCAACCAGCCCCTTCTGGCCGCAGGCCCTATCTAGATTGCACTGCGCAGAACGTAGCACACCAGGGGGGGAGGGAGGGAGGGGCGAAGGAGTAGGTAACTAATCCTGACCCCCCCAGCTTAGGCACATATTTAGGGATTTCCGAAAACACAACATTCTTCATATTAAATGGAGAAGTGAGGCTACGTACTGCGCCTTCTAATTTGCGCCTTGAGGCCCGACCTGGGCCTCGCCACCTCTGGGCGCGGCTCCGCGGTGGAGCCGAGCGGCAGCGAGTCGCCCTGCAGCCCCTTCAGCATACCTATCAGACGAGCAGTGAGTGGCTTCTGCGCCACCCTGGACTTCCCCAGCGCCTGTGACATGAACATGCCTGGGGCCCGCCAGAACTCCTCGCCGTCTCGAAGATTGGCGTCGCTCATGATGCTGCGCCTCGCGATGAGGATGAACGACTTCGTATACCTCTGGAGGGCACTGGAGGTGTTCCAGCGCCCCCTTCTCCGTGCGACCTCCAAGTCTCCCCCTCCCGCCACAAAGCGTGCGGCCCCCGCATGCCTGAGCCCGTGCGGGGGCCCGAACTGCTCGAGCCCGAGCCTGACGAGGGAGCGGTTCCACTCGCGCCTGTACTTGTCGGGGGTGATGGGGAAGACGCAATCGTCGGGGGCGAGGTCGGAGATCAAGACC